CAAAAGTTCTGAAAAGTATAGGTTGTTTTTTTATACTTTGGAGCCCAAACTCGTTAGGTGACAAAACCTGATCTGAAGTAGCATGAGGTTATTTGTAGTCTTGATTCACCCAGTGTGAATTTTCATACTTTTGACTCTAGAAATTAATGTTCATTTATAAGTGATGCTCCAGACCTTTCTAAGTAGTTATGTAATATAGAGTGTATGTGGTATATAGAGTTATGTAATATAGGGTACATGTCTTCCTTTCTAAAATTGAAAAAATTCTGAATTCCAAAGCATATTTGGCCCCAAGTTTGGAAAAAAGATGATGGGCCTTTAAGTGCTATGCAGAGAATTCAAACATGCAATGTGTTGATTCAAAAACTGGCCCCTGAACAGGGAGGGCAAGAAGAAACTGAAGAAAGAGGCAGACCACTCCGCATTGGTAGGTGGCAGATTTAATGAGCAAGGGAACTTCCAAGGTTTGTTTTGGGTGGCCGAAAGGCGAGTAGATCTCCACACCCACCTGCCAGAATCTTAAGAGTTTATATAGAGGCATTAAGGGGGTTCAGTCAAGTATTCAGTCCAGATGGTCTCAACACCTTACTCTTTCAAGGCTGCGTCCTTAAAACAGCTCCACCTGTGGGAATGGTGGATATATTCCAAGGACAGAGGAGGGGGTAAGGAGACTCCCAATGCCTGGGTCCAGCTCTGTGGTCAACCAGAGGTCACGTCCTCTTGATGACATCTTCCAAGCCAATGGGATAGTAACTAGGTGGCTTACAGCTTGAGAGTTCCGGGAGGGGAGGTGACATTTAAGTTTAGTTCTGAATGACCAAACAACAACAACAGCAACAAATACAGTCATGCAAAGACGGGGGGAGAGCATTCCAAACAGAGGGAATAGCTAATTCAAAGGTAACACATGGGGGAGGGATAAATTGGGAGATTGGGATTAACATATACACACTACTATATATAAAATAGATAACTAATAAGAACCTACTGTATAGCACAGGGAACTCTACTCAATACACTGTAATGGCCGATATGAGAAAAGAATCTAAAAAAACAGTGGATATATGTATATGTATAACTGATTCACTTTGCTGTACACCTGAAATTAATGCAACATTGTAAATCAACTATACTCCAATAAAAATTAAAAAACAAAACAAAGAAGAACACAAAGAGGACACTGTGGTTGGAGCATACTGGGCTCAGTGAAGAGTGCTATAGACTGCTGGGGGGCTTCATGTTGTCAGAAAGATTGTGAATCTGGTATTAAATCCTTTGATGAATATGGTGTAGTGACCATGAGTGTGGCGGTGGTCAACATTTAGGAGGCCCAGAGGGAAGTCTTCCTGGATGGGAAAACACAAAGGGAGATACTTCAGATAGATTAAACATACAACCAAATGAGGCTGAAAATGTAGACTAAGGTTATGGTCTAAAGACCTTGGTTTGGGGAGAAGTATACTTCCATAGAAAGAAATCAGATTAGGTAGATTAGGTGGGCTCAGGATTCTAATTGGGATACTGGTTAAAAGATGTTCTAGGATGTTTTGGGTCTTAAATGACAGTCTCTCGTTGAGGTCCGATCTGAAATGTTTCCAATCTGACCTGGGCTTTGGGGTTTAAAATAGGTTAGACAAAGAAGACAGTAGCAGAGGCTGACCTGATGAAAGATGTTTTTGGCTTCTCTGTTTATGCCTCTTTGGGTTTGTGCTTCTCAGCAGCTGTCTCAGAATGTCTGTCTCCTAGCTTCTCTCTTAATGGCTCCCCACATCCATATCTCTGAGAATCTGTCGGTCATCTCTGTTCCTCTCAATCTCTTCCTCGACATGTTTCTCTGTACATGGCTCTCAGAATCTCCATCTTTGGATATCCATGTCTGAGTTCTAGAATCTGGTTCTTTGTCCCTTCCTTCGTGTGTCTGTACTGTAATTATCTCTTTTTCCAATTGAACTTTTTCCAACTTCCCTCTCGTAAGGCATGAACCTTTTATTATTCCCCTGGCTATCCCCAGTGCTCCGCACAGAGCCTGGCATATAGGAGTCTCTCAGATATAAACATATGAATGTTGAATGGAAGCTTTTTTCGAGAAGTAAGGTACACACGCTCAATCTCCTGTCCCCCTCCGCCCAGCGGAGCTGGCCGTCTGCCCAAAGGCCGGAGGTTGTGGTGGTGCGATGCTGCTACTCGTTGTTTTCTCCCCCGGGTGAAATAACTCTCGGCCGGCACCTTCCCCTGGCCTGCTCTCGGGTCTTGGACGCTAGCCGCCGGCACTCGCAGTTTGTCCTTAGCCGCGGACAGCCAGCCTCGCCGGCCCCGCCCCGCGGCTCTGCCTCGGCCAACCAGCGAGCGCCCGGCAGTCCTGCTTGTAGAGAGGCCAGCGCAAGATGGCTGCTTCCTGTCGGAGCGTGAAGGTAACCGGGTCTTCGTCCCTGCTTCTTGCCCCGCTGCACCTGCTGGGACGGCACGGCCGTAGAACTAGGCGGGAGAGATCGGTGCTGGCAGAAAGGGTTACTCTTATCGAGGCCTGCTATTGCGGCGGTTGGCCTCGGGAGGTAAAGGTCAACTCTCAGGGGCACGTGCATGCGGGGTGTCTGGATGGGCTTCTGGGGGGATGAGACACCCAGAGGTCCCATCGTTAAAGTGAGGAGGCACATCTGGGTCAAACCGCAGGGATGACCAGGAGCCTCCCTCGCAGAAGCCTGGAAAATGGGCAGATGCAAGGGTGGGGGTGGTCTGTACAGTATAGTTGTTGACAGTGCCCCTCTTCACAGGGTCTGGTCGCCGTAGTAACCGGTGGAGCCTCGGGCCTCGGCTTGGCCACGGCGGAGCGACTGGTGGGGCAGGGGGCCACTGCTGTACTTCTCGACCTGCCCAACTCGGATGGGGAGACCCAGGCCAAGAAGTTAGGGAACAACTGCGCCTTTGCCCCAGCGGACGTAAGTGGGATTACCTCACCTCTCCCATGGGGTCCCTTTTCATAAGGGTACCGTCTATGTGGGCATTGGACCCATCTCCTTTTTCCTTTTGGCCTGAGCCATTTTCAAAACGCCTGCGGTAAGGAATTTCTAAAGCTGGGTTTCACAACGGAGGGGTTGGGAATTGGCCATATCAGAATCTCCTCAAGGAAGTATGTATAGTTTGAAAATGCATATTGTGCCCTGTAATTTTATATTTACAAAGTCAAAAAACTTTTCATGAAACAAACTACAGGAAGTAAAGCTTGACGAAATTATCTTAGCAGGTACGGGTACAAAAAAGCTAGTTTATCTTCATATCAATAATTCTCAAAACTTCTCTGATCCACAGCAGTTGAGAATCTCCAGGGGTATGTGAATTTATCAGAAGAGGGTATGGATTTCAAAAATGTTTTGAAACACTGCTCTGTATTACTTAACATTTTCACCTTTGTCCCACTTTCAAGTTTTCTTTCTCCTGGCCTCTCCCTTGCTTACACAATTCTCTTGTCACTCAAAGAGTGAACCTGCCTTGCCCTCCCCTCCTCAAGATTTAGTGGTATGTGTGTGATGGGAGATGAATACCTTCTCCACTTCTCCCTTTGAAGGTGACCTCAGAGAAGGACGTGCAAGCAGCCCTGATTCTAGCAAAAGAAAAGTTTGGCCGTGTGGATGTGGCAGTCAACTGTGCAGGCATTGCAGTGGCCAGCAAGACATACAACTTAAAGAAGAGCCAGGCCCATACCTTGGAGGACTTTCAGCGAGTTCTCAATGTAAGGCCTTAGAGGTTCTCCAGGGGTAGTAGTAAGAAGTATCTGGCTGTGGGTGTCCCCAAAGCTTTTAGGGGACAAAAGACTGCTTCTGCTTTAGGTCCTACACCATGTCTCTACTGGTCCTCCAGGTGAATCTCATAGGCACCTTCAATGTGATCCGTCTGGTGGCTGGTGAGATGGGCCAGAATGAACCAGACCAGGGAGGCCAACGTGGGGTCATTATCAACACAGCCAGTGTAGCTGCCTTTGAGGGCCAGGTGTGTGAGTAGGGGCAAGGTTTGTGCCTTGGTGACTTGTTGGGGCCCCTTCCCCCTGTGACCTCCACTCCTTCTCCAGGTTGGACAAGCTGCATACTCTGCTTCCAAGGGGGGCATAGTGGGCATGACACTGCCCATTGCTCGGGATCTGGCTCCCATGGGCATCCGGGTGATGACCATTGCTCCAGGTAGACATATCCCCTTCCTGCCACACCTGGGATTGGATGGGATCCGTGGGCAATTGAGAGGGGAAGGTATTTACCACCTAAACAGCAGCAGCCTTCTATCTCTGGGCATAGGGAAGCACCACAAGTAGGGTTAAGGTGAGGAGGGACCAGGTAAATATGAAAGCAAGGGTGGGTCTCTGACTCTGGTTGTCTTGTCTAGGCCTATTTGGCACTCCGCTGTTGACCACCCTCCCAGATAAAGTGCGCAACTTCCTGGCCAGCCAGGTGCCCTTCCCCAGCCGACTGGGTGACTCTGCTGAGTATGCTCATCTGGTACAGGCCATCATCGAGAACCCATTCCTCAATGGAGAGGTCATCCGGCTGGATGGGGCCATCCGCATGCAGCCTTGAAGGGGGAAGGCCGAGAAAACAGGCTCCTCTGTCCCTCCTCTTCCTGGAGTACTCTACTCCAGCTTGGGAGGAAGCCCAGTAGCCATTTTGTAACCTCTGCCCACCAGTCACCCTTTGTGTCTAATAAAGTCTATTTCTCACAGGGGAGCGAGCAGCACTGTGCTGGGGGAACTGGCATGGGGAAGAAAGGTGAATGGGTGAAGACTCTGACAGGGTTGCATGCTCAGAGCCCAGGGGTGGGGCAGGAAAGCCAGTACCTCACACCCTTTGTGTCCTATTACAACACGTGGCCTTGATTTTAGTGAATAACTTTATTACCTAGGGTCAAAGGTGGGGGTGCTGGCTCAGCTCTCCCACTGGGAAATGGATCATCTTCCTCTCTTGACTCAGCCTCTGTGAGCTTGATTGATGGAGGAGGGAGAGATGACCATCCAGAGCTCAGCGGCTGCTGGTGTTGAATTGCAAGTGATATTGGGCTGTAGGTTGATTGGTGTAGATTATCGAATTCAGATAGAAATCCAGAGGCCTCAGGTGATGGGCTTTCCCTCTCTCCCTGGCCCTTGCCATCCGTCTCCACCCTCCCTTGGCATTCATCCCTGCTGCCACCCCCTAGAACTCACTGGTCTTTTTGCTCCTTTGCCAGATGCTGGTTGAAGGAGCCTAGTACCCTCCGAAATTCAGCACACAGCTCCCTCTCCTGCTCTTCTAGCTCTATTGCTGCCTGGGCCAAGCACGTGGGCTGGCTTTCCCATTTGGTATCCAGTGCTTGTTCGGTCTGGCGCTGTGCCTCCTTTTCATGGTGTTGCACCTCCTGTACTTTCCTGATGGCAGCTCTCTGCTCTAGAGTCCCGCCCTTCCAGCAATAGGGCAGGACCCTGTGGGGAGCCGTAGGGTTTTGGGCGACCTGGGGGTTCTCAGTCAGTAGGTCACTCGTGATCTGGTTTTGGATCTCCACGAGGTTGTCCTGTTGGTGCTGATGCTCACAGCGCTGCTGCTTATCCATCTTAGCTACCTGGTGGGGCCCCCGAATGTGAGCATTTGGATGCCCAACCTCAGGGAACTCTCAGTCACAGGGGAGGGGGTGGCATGACCCTACTCTCCTCCATCTCAGGGAGAGAAGGAACAGATACTGCATGGCCTTTGAGTGACTTAAGGTGGGGGAAGGGGTGGAATGTGCAGGGAACTCCCCTGCCCTCTGGAAGCCCTTAGACTAAGAGGCTGGGGAAGGGAGGGCAGTGTTCTGTTCTCAGGTCATCCTGAGTCTGGAGGTGGGGAAGGGGACCTTCTGCCCTAAGAGGGCCCTTGGGTGAAGGGGGAAATCCTCAGGTAGATGAGAGGGCTGGTGTTGATTTGAGAAGGGTTGTGAGGGGAAAGATGTGGCTGAGGTTCCCCAGGACTTTGTTCAGGGGACTGGGGAGAGCCGGGTGCACTGGATGGCTCTGGCCATACGTACCTGGGTCTTGTTGGCGTTGGCCATGGCAGACATTATGGCCTTGTGGCAGCAGTCCTCCAGCTTGGCCAGCTGGGTGGCCTGCAAGTCCACGGCTAGGCGCAGCTGTTCACTGAGCATATCTACACAGAGAAATATGGTCAGGGCACTGTACTGGCTTGCTGCATTCCTGGTTCACTCATTCAGCCATTTGTTCAGCAAGCTTTGTGGATGTATGTGTATGTATGTTTCGGAAGGGGGTAATGTCCTCATTGGAGGGATGTGTGGAAGGAGCTACTCTTTGGGGCCAGGGATAACCAAAGTGACAGCAACAAGAATTTCTCAGGTGCCTCACTGAAAGATGCCTCCAATGGACCTGAGTCTCAATGCAGCTCTGTTGCTTCTGGGCTGTGTGACCTTGGGGAAATCATTTCATCTCTGAGCCTCAGTCTAAGGGCCATGTGTTGGGTTCTGAGGATACCAACGAATTAGATCCTGTCCTCAGAGAGTTCCTTGTCTAATGGAGGAGATGGATCAAATGTAGATCATCATACCATAATGTGGTAAGGGCAATGACAGAGATGTGTGTAGGGCATTAAGAGAGCTTTGGGTGAGAGGAAGGCTTCCAGGAGGAGGTGATCCTTGAAATACATGTTGCATATAGTCAGAAAGGGCAAAGGGCATTCCAGGCTGCAAGCACAGCATGAGCAAATGTATTGAAACTTTGCTTCAATCCAGCCACACCAGTCTCCTTGCTGTTTCTAGAACATGCCAGACGTTCCTGCCTCAGGGATTTGCAATAAACGTTGCTCTTGTCTCATGCTCTTTTGCCTCCCTCAGGTCTTTGCTCAAATGTTACCGCCTCAGTGAGGCCTTCTGTCTCTCCTACCTAAAATTGCCACCTGCCTGCCCCCGACATTTATCCTCCTTCTCTGATTTATTTTTCTCCCTAGCATTTGTCACCATCCAATATACCCTACATTTTACTTAATTATTTTTGTCTATTGCCTGTCTCTCTCCTCACTAGAAGGTAACCCTTGTGAAAGCAGGGATTTTTGTCTGTTTTATCCACTACCATGCCCTAGCACCTGCATCAGAGGCTGGCACATAGTGGGTGCTCAGTAAATAATTATCAAATGAATGAAGGAAGCCAAGAAACAGCATGGTCTGTATCTTAAATTACAAATAGTCTGCTCTTCCTAGAGCATAAAATGCAAGTGACTAGGGAGCTCTACAGGGGCCAGACTAAGGACTAAAAACTTGACCCTGAAGGTGGTGGGGAACATGGAAGGATTTTAAGTAAGGGGGTGACACAGATCTGCATTTTAGAAAGCTCCTTTTGGTGGCCAGTATAGAGGACAGTCAGGCTGGTGGGAGACAGTTGATGTAGGGAAGCCATCTTGGAGGCTAAGGCAGTAAGCCAGTTGGGAGGGCTCAAACCAGGCCAGTGATGGAAAGGATGGAGGGGAAATATATGGAGGTTACATCAGCAGTACTTGATGGATTGGATGAGGGAGTAAGGGAGAAGAAAGACTTGGATGCTTTCCAGAGTCCTGGCTGGGATGACTCCATGCGTCGTGTGGCCACCACTGGAACTAGAGGATACAGAATTCAGAGCAGGTTAGGGAGCACTGATGAATTGTTTAGGAAGCTGAGTTGGAGGTGGTCCGCAGGCACCTGGATATCTGATTCTGCAGGTAAAGAGTCCTCAGCACAGAGGTGGCGACATTTTAGCTGAAACCAGAATGAGGACTGAGGGTGCCTGAGGCAAGTATGCAGGGTAAGGAAGGAGTGCACCAGGGACAGAGTCTCAAGAAGGAAGAAGTAGAAGGAAGAGGAATCCATAAAGGGCAGACAGAGGAGGAATGATCGGAGAGCTACAAGCAGAATGTGCTGTCACAGAAGCCAAGGAAGAGAGAGGTTCAAGAAGGAAGATGTGATCATAGTGAAGTGTAGCAAGAAAGTCCCAATCAAGGAGAAAAGACTGAACAGAGCCTCTTCTACCTGATAACACAAAGGGCATTGATGATTTTAGTAAGAGTAGTGTCAGTGAAGTTGTGTGGGGAGAAATGAGATCTCAGGGGTTGAGGTGTGACTGGAAAGTTTGGAAGGAAAGAGCAAGTGGAGGCAGATTTTTCAGAAAGTATGGTTGTAAAGGAAAACAGCTAGCTCACAGCATCTAGAGGAATCAGAGTGGAGGGAGACTTTTGGTTTTTTCCTAAGAAGGGTTAGACACAAGCATGCTTACAGCCTTCACAGAAGGGGCCAGTGGAAGGGCAAGTGTTGAGAACCCAGCGGGGAGTACCTAAGGGAGCACAGCCTGTGTGGGAGGCAGGGGGAATGGGGTCCAGAGCATAGGTTGAGGGGTTGGCTCTGGAGAGGCACAGGGACACAGATTTCAGAGACTGGAGGGCGGGGGAAGGGAGGATAGGGGTGCCTTGTTTCATTTCACTCTTCGTAGCAACCCAGAGGGAAAGATCAGCCCCATTTTTCAGATGAGGTCCAGAGGTGAAGTAAAATGCCCAAGGTTACACAGCCAGCAAGTAGTAAGTTGGGATTTGAATCCGGATCTCTCGAGGAATCAGCCCATGCTCCTTCCATGACATTACACAGACTCTCTCCCAGCATTCTGCTGTCCCTGTTGCCTTGCTCTACCTTCTCGTACACCTGCCTGCTGCCGTTGGGCAGCTGGCCCCTGGTTCCACTGCAACTGTTCTGACAAAAATCACCAAATACTCCTAATTTCCAAATCTCATTTTCCAAATCTCATTTTCAAGTCTCATTCTTTTCCTATCTGAACTTCTCTGGGGCATTTGACGTTATTGATGACTCCCTCTCTGAAACTTCTCCCTTGGCCTCTGAGTTCCCAGTTTCTCATGGTGACTGACAGCAAGTGTGGCATAGCGGTGAAGAGTGCAGGCTCTGGAGCCAGCCTGCCTGAGTTCACTTCCCGCATTTCCCGCCTCCATCACCCACTAGCTGTATGATTTTGGGCAAATTATTTAACATCTCTGTTCTTCAGTTTCCTCCACCGAAGATAGGGATACTACTAGTACTTGCCTCATAGGGTTGTTGTGAGGATAAAATGAGTTAATACATGGCAGAAAGCTTGACACAGTGTCTGGTACACAGTAAGTGCTCAGCAAAGGTTAGCTCTTCCTTTTGCTACCTGCTCTGCCTAGAATGACCTTTTCTCATTCCCACTCTCTGCCTTGCCGAAATTGTACCCAACTTTCCAAAACTGGTTCCTGACAGCAGGCCTGTGCCAACCCCCTACCCTGCCTCCTTTCCTTTGTGAGAACTGACCACTCCCATATTGATGTTTCCTCCATGTCCTATATATACTTCTATCACAGTACCGCTCATAGTACCTAACGCAGCGTTAAAGTATAGATATGTGCTGGTAAATGACTTGTGCATGTATCTTTTCCTCTTACTCTACACTGATTTTCTGGAAGGCATGGTTCCGTGGGTTCCTGGAGGGTAGGGTGCCTTTCTTGTTTACTTTGGTCAATTGTTCATTCAACAATGATTTATTGAGCTCCTGACACTGTGGCAGACAATGTACTAGGCAACTGGGATATAGGGGTGGAAATGAGATATGTGGTTCATCTTCAGTGAGCTGACATTTTGGGGAGAAGACAGACATTCCACAAATACTTTCAGATACTTAGTTACCTCTGTGATAAGCGGTATAACAGAACAGGGTGCTATAACAGGGGTGGTTTTAAAGGTGAGCAGTGTGAGTAGATAAGAGATGGTCCTTGCCTGTGAAAGGCTTACTCTAATGGAAAAGGCGGACATAGCCACAGATGTCATAGTAATATTGATAGTAGCTACTGGTTATTGAGCACTGACGCTTGTGCTTTACTTACAGTATCTCATTTCATTCTCATATGAGCTCTTTGTGGTATGGATTCATTTCCTCATTTTAAAGATAAGGAAACTGAAGCACAGAGAGGAAAACTCATTTGCCCAAACCAGCTAGTAAGCAGCAGAGCCATTAGGTTTGTCTTCACTCTGCTGCCTCCAGGTAATGGAGTGCCAGGCTGATTGGGGATCAGTGGCTATACTGTTAGTTGATGAAGGAAGTCAGGGAGGTTGGGGCCTGCTCAGTCTAACCTTTCAGCATCAGCCCCTATGGGTAACTGGACCTCCCCACACAGTTCTGGTCTTCTGGGTGCTGTATCCAGCTCAGGATGACTCCCCACTAGGCCTCAGGTCACAGCCTGGAGGGCCCCGCTGCTTACCTGCACAGTTCTCCTCAACTCTGGCTTGCTGTTGCTCTTGCAGTGGCTTCTCCAGGCTGTGCATGAACTCTTCCTGCTGCATTCTCAGGCATATGGCCCTGTCCAAATCTTCCCCAGAGAAGCACTGCAGGCTGGCTGGGCCCCAGTGGGGATCACTGTCACCAAGATGAGCTGGAAACTCCCTCCAGAGTCGGTCTGAATCCCAAAAGTCAAGTTCACGCCTTTTCTTGAGCTGCTGCTTCTGCTTCCGAAACTCTTGCATTTTCTTGGCCAGCTGACCTGTCCATTCTGCCTGTTCCTTCTCTAGTATCTGAGCCACCACATCATATTGCACCTGGTTGGTACCTGGGGGTGGTGGGTAGGGGCATGGAGAAGGCCCCACGGGAGGGACAGAGCCCACTCAGCACAGCCACTGTTCCCAAAGGTCAATCTGGTTTGTCTTACCACACCCCAGGCCTCAGGCCCCACTCCGAAGCAGAACTGCCCTGCCTTATCCCACTTGGCCCTTGCTTTTCCTCTTTGGCTGGCCCCTGGCCTTGGGCTTTTACCATAAGCTGCCACCTTGCTCTGCTTTTTTGCCTTCCGAAGCTTTTTCTCTTCCACCTGGCTGTTCAGGGCTTCAGCATCCACCTGATCCCAAAGAAATGAGTTAAATCAAGGTACGGGCCCAGCACTGGGCCTCGAATGCTCTAACATAGACTGCTTAGAATTTACCTGCTTCAAAATCCTCCTATAGGATCCCCAGTACCTACTGGATAATGTTCTACCATCTCAGTATGGTTTGTAAGTTCCTCAGTGGTCTAGCCTCTTCCTCTGTCTCCAGCCTCATCTCACCCTCTTCCTCTCCCACCCTCAGAAGCTCTGCTTACAGTTCCCTGCACATCTTAGGCTGTTTCATACTGATAGCCTTTGCTCCAGCATCTCCCTCCACTTGGAACACTCTT